GTGCGGTAACTTGGGCAGACGCAGGAGCGGGAGTCGCAGCTGAGGCTAGAGCTGGAGCCGCAGCTGCAGCTGGAGCCAAGACTAGAGCCGCACGTTGTTTCGGCGCCGAGATCGAGGATTGTGCACTGCTTTGAGGCGTGCTCAAATCCTGCGTACGCCTCTTGATTGGGCCATCCGGGAGTAGCTTTCGTCCCCTGGCATTCAGTCTGGGCATTGCTGGGGGCGGATGCGTCACCGAGGGCTCAGGCATCGTCGACGGCCCAGGGATTTTCGAGGGCCCAGGCGCCGACAACTCAGGACTCGGAGGTGCCTGCAATAGTGAGCCCCCTACCGGGGCCGGGGACGTGACCGGAACTATGACCGGATTGAACTCCCGCTTGGGCAACACCGGCGACATGTCGGTGTTCATGATATCCTCTATTGGGCACTTTGGTTCCCAGGTCCGTTCGAAGCGTCTTGGCCCACCTTCTACCTGTTGCTGCTGCTGCTGAGCAGGGGCAGTGGCAACAAGAATCGGTGCCATCTCTCTTCGTGTCGGCTCCGTCTCGTTATGAGATTCGACGTGGAATATTGTGGTGACAGTGGGATCTGGTGAGTTGATGAGTTGGTTGGTTGACTGCTGAATATGAGAAGAGAAAGGGCAAATTATCGTGTAGTGACTCTTATCAATGAGTTCCAGACGGGGATGGAGAAATGCACAGCTTTCTATGCCTGTCCTACCCGGGTGAACACAACCCTGTTTCTTATATTCTAAGAAAAGTTGCCCGGAGATAGCTGGGTTTGGTGTCTTCTACAAAAATTGACCTTAGCTACCTCTCTAGCCTTTCTCCGGTACGTGTGTATATGTGTATGTGATATCAAGCGTTGAAAGCAGTTGTCAACCTCTTTAGTCTTTCTCCGATACTCTCGTTGGGAACGTGAAGATTAGAAGTTTTTCAGACAACTACCTCTCTATCCTTTCTCCGATGGGTGATCGACTATTACAGTTCGTCCGCAGAGAGCTCCAGCAAGCTCACCTCACCGAGACTGCCGAGACGCTTTAGGGCGAGCATGCTCTAGGCTAAAGCGTCGGTTAGTCGTCTCTGTGACATAGTATTATGCGACACACAAGATTCCCAGCGAGTAAAATGGCTTCATATTGGATTTCATTCCAAGCACTCGTAGTTATTATAAATAACTGGATATGAGAGATATTACTGTGTTTTTGTGTCGGATTTCTAAAACTAAGTGCGGAATACGGCTGCAGGACCGTGGCGAGTAACGATCTTACAAGTCCTACTTTACATGAACAATATGTTCAGATACCATCTTCATATACCGCCTCCCCGATACCATCCAATCCTAAGATGGTTCTAGGTCTAGGAATCCTGTGAGCCCTGAACTCTTCCTTTTCCGGGGGGAGAACCGCATGGTTCACTCGAAGACGACTCCCCTCTCTCGCCAGCTGTGGCACCACTTGAAGACGGACTCCCACCAATGGTCCGAGAACCATCGTCGCTGGAGCTACGCTCGCGACCACTGGAAGCAGGCGGCTCGTCAGCTTTGTCTCGAGCAGGAGGGTTACTAGGCGACTGTCGCACAGCTGGAGAGGTCTTCTTGCTGGCCCTCGTGCGCGCCTTCTTGTTCGGGGGTTCCACAACCTCCAATACCTCCTCCGCTTCGTCCGTGTCCTTATCCCGGGCAGGGCCCCCAGTCTTCTTCTGCCCCCGCTTCACTTTATCCTGATCTCTCTTCCTTCCCTTCCCGGGGACTGGATTCAAGGAGCATCGCTCCTTCAACTTCATACACCTTGAGCAGACTTTGCCTCCGCTATAGAAGCATTCATCTCCCTTGTTATTTTGGAGACAACGATCGCAAGGAACGGCGGGCTTCATGCCTTTATTCCTTTCCTTGTCAGAGCGACTATGCTCCTTCTTCGTCTTGGCGCACTGCTCGATCCCCTCGGGGTTGCTTTCCACGCACTTGGAGCATTTGCAGATCTCCCTTTCGCCACTAGTGGCCTTTGACTGCGGCTTCTTGTCTGCCGGTGTGGCAGCGTTGGTCCGCGTATTGTTGTTCGCGGCTGCTGTAGGTTTCGTCGGCATCTTCTTTCTCGCGACTAGGGCGGCTTTTCCTTCAGCTGCTGGTTCGACCGCTGGCGGCGAGGACACTTTTTTATTGCCTTCGTTGACCTCTTGATTCTGTTGCTTTTTGGGCCTGCTCGTTGGCAACGGGCGCCGGTGTGCTGGGCGTGAACCGTTGCTGCTACCCGCCTCTTGACTTTGTTGGATGGCGGGTCTATTGATAGCAGTGAAGCCACGAACGCGCTCGGGTACGGGACTCGGAGACTTTTCCCGAGAGGGAGCCCGACTACCTATAGTGATTGCCAGCGTTGCAGAAGCTAGCGGTTCAGGAGACGGATCCTGAGTTGGCGAGGTCGAGCTGATTAGACTGACGCCGCGAGCCACGCGCTCCTCGTCCTTTTTCGATTTATACATCGCCGCCAATGCCTCTACGGCAATGTTTCTGAGCCTTTCTTCTTCTCCCTCCGCAAACACGGGCATGAAGTTGATAGAAACAGCCATTTATCTGAGTTTGGACTGTTATAGTGTTAGTTGGGACTAAATGGGTACTAGGCAGACAGTCATAGGAGAGCAAATGGGATGAAGTCTTACAATATGGTTTGGATGAAAACCCGAATACTCACAGAATATCGAGGACAAGGGTGAGGGAATTGTCAAGATGGAAGGAAACATATCGTTCTGACTTTTATATAGACACATGGCACTTGCCACAGATGGTGACTTACTAGACAATGGAGATAGGTTCAGGAAAGCTAGGACGGGTGTATGGGTGGCGTATCATTGAGTTCATCGCAGGTTCGGTACGCAATGAGGTAAACGGAAACAGCCCTCAACGGAGAAAGCTCTTAACCCAGCGCGCCCGCAAGCAATAATCTATGGGATATTGATACAAGACAAAACCCTTCAGACTCATTCCCAACACCTGCTTTACTCCCATGAACATAACTCCTTGTACCGGGTGCACTCTGAGCAAGCCTTGTAATTCTCTGGCCATTGATAGCATTTGCGCCTATCAATCTCTCGGCATCTTCTGCATTCTCCCAGTGGCTTTTCTAGCATGTTGTGTCTCTCAATCTTGTCGGCTGATAGATGTGCTCGTATGGTCTCTCTGGTTTTCGGCTTGCCTTGACCATGGCATCTCAAACAAGGGCACTTCCGTATTCTGCCCCCTTCCCTTCTGTCCGACTTTGCGTCTTTCGAAGGAGACTCGTCAATGATATCATCGTCCAAGATGCTGTAGCTCGAAGAGGCTGGAGTGAAGATGTCGGACATTTCAATGTCGGTGGTCTCGCCGGGAGATGTCTCGTTGTCAGGAGTCTCAGCGCCGGTGGCCTCCTCAGTTCGAGCGGCGTTGCTTGAACTCATTGGGCTTGATATACTATCTGCTGACTCGATCTCTCTTGAACGGGAGATCTTGGATGAGACTGACTTTGGCGCAGTGTTTCTCGGTGCATCATCAGTGAAAGCCTGAATTTTCGAAGCAGAATCGTAGACGGTGTCATTAGTCGAAGAGGCCTGTTGTAGATTGTCGGATGGACCATCGGTTGTTGTAGCACCATCCGCTCCCTCTATTTTCGCTCGTATCTCTTGGTCATGGTCGTCGAATAGTTTGTCTAGGTCTTCAAAAGCCACGCTGGGAGTTTCTGGATGCGGTGGAGACATTTGGTGAGCAAGCCCCTCTTCCACGGACATGCCTTGATCGCCTGCAGACATATCCTCGTCCGTATGGAATTCTAAACCATCTCCGTCCGTGGGCTGGGGATCAAACGGATCGTCCAGATGCGCATCGTCTGGGTGCAGATATTCCGCGTATGAGAACGATTTTTCGGCCCCGGACATTGTTGGGCAGTTGTGTGGCAATCTTGCGTTTGATTAATGAGCAAGTGGGTGATGATTCTGGTAAGCCTGGAGGTACCAGCTGACAATCTAATTGATTCAGAAAATACAGAAGATGATGATGTGGTCTGGTCGAAGTGCACCATTTCTTCCCACAAGCCAAAGAATGCTGTCATGTCATCAAGTGACGCTGTGCCTTCCTTTTTCTTGTGACTTAATGGTCTGGGAAAGCATTGCTGGGCTGACTGGGCACCCACGACGAGACACGCAACTACGGCAGGAACTCAGCTACACGTAACAATGGTCACCTGCAAGAGCAGCATATAACACAGTAATAGACTTGCAGCTGCCCAAAATGAATGGAGATCATATGGAACTAAACCACTGCCTCTTATTGATATGTCTAAGGTCCTTCCTTCATTACCATGCTAGACACTTCACTGCTTTTCCTGGAAAATGACTTGGTGCCCTTTCCTCTTGCCCTAAATAAATGGACAAACATCGATGAACTGACCAAATACTCAAGCACTGAACGACAGAAGTTGCACGCTAGACTTCACTCTGACTGGCAGCTGCATATTTATCTCTTACCAAATATGCGAGGCAGAGCGCAGATGGACAGTCTTCAGTACTGACTTGGGTAAGCCAGCCCTTTGGCATGCATGAGGATCCCATCTTCTGATGATTCGGCAAGATATTTAGGTAGCCAACAACTCTGAGGAACACAACCTAGCTCTCAGAATAGAATGCTTCTCGTAGGACGTTACACACCAGTCTATCCTCAGGCCAAAGATGTAAACATGTTGTACTTATCTCATTCAGGTGGGTCGCAACCAGAGTCAGATCTCATAAATAAAGCCTGGGTATGGGCTTTCACCTCATTGAAGTACATCTAGTATGTTCTAGAAACGAGGTATTGATCTTCAGCCCTCGCTCCCGCTAGCTAAGGCACCTTGATGACTCAATGACGGCCCACCCAGGACTCCGAACTTGAAGATTTATCTAAAGCCCTTCATTACCTACTTCACTCACACTGCGGAAAGCCTCCCTTGAGATGTTCGCTGCCCTAGGGCATCTTATGCTCTAGGTCACCGTCACAAGCTAACGGACGGTCGCGATCGACAGTTCCTCAACAATCATATCTGCCAAGCTCCTGATGATGTCGTCGTTCTCCAGCTTGTCAACTCTGCCCTCAAGTGAGTTCCTGTGACGCAAAGTGCTGCTGGTGAAGCGGCCGAATCCATACAAAATAGAATTCGATGAATTCATTGCCTATGGACTAGGAGTGAAGTAAATGGGCACTCCAGGCGCCTCAAATTCCAAAGTTAAAAAGTTGAATTTTCTAGGAGGACGGAAGTCACAAGCAAGAGTGACCGCATATTTCCGGAACAGAAGGGTCAACACACATGTGATCTCAGCAGGAGCAATACTAAGAGGGTCAGCTTTTCAGGCAAACTTGATGAGCATTTAAGGTGGCCTATTTCTGCCCCAGACACATCCTGGCTCCTTTGGAAAACGCTACTTGATATTGCTCGAGGCTTTTAGCATTTGGCTTCAACCATCGATCTGGGTTGAAGGAGCGGGCATCGGGACCCCTCGCATCTACACTTGTGTACATAGTGTGCGCCGACACTGAAACGACAGTCTAAACAGAAAATTTATGTTAGAAGAGATGCGTATCACATGGCCGTAGGTCCAGTCCCCAGGAAGTGACGTACACCAGGCGGAATAAGCTTGTTTGAAGGCCTTTTTCCCGTTCAAAACAACCCTGGGCAAGCGAACAGGCGCTGCCGCAGTGAAGCGAATAGCTTCCTTGACACAAGCAGTCTGAAGACACTCATTTAGCATCCAACCTTCATTGACTAAGGTGAATCCCGGGTTCACGAGTGAACTACCACCATCACCACAACGAATGCAAGGCCTTTGAGACTTACCAGGTATCCAATCTTCTCAAGCTCCAATAGAGGCGGCAAAGCATCTCTGGACGGTATAGAGGCATCCAGAGACTGGACGAGCTTTGCTTCAATGCCTGGATTGGTGAGTATTTCAACAATAGCTACTGTTACCGACATGGCAGTCGGTCGTGTCTGCTCCTGCAACAATCATGTCCACGGCTTCGGTGGCCATGTCGGAACGAGAAATACCCGTGAGCTTGTCGAAAGAGACCGACCCTTCAGCCTGAGCTTTTCTAGATTCTCTCCATTAATCTACAGATTCAGAGGCGAACTGTTTAACCGAGAATGGAGCAGGGCATCCGAGCTGTGTCAGTAACACTGAAAACAACATACCTGGAGGAGACTGAGGAGTTTGCCAACATCTGGTTTCATGAAGTTGACGAGTAAGACTGGAAGACAGTTTCCAATATGACGAGCTAAAGGGTAATACAACATGGTGTGGAATCCATGAGATGCAACACTTAAGGAATCGGAAAACCAGGAAGTGAAGTCGTGTTCGTTCTCTTCGATCATGCCACCGGATCTTCCAAAGGCAAATTGTATAATGACCTTGGTCGTCAAGACTCCATAAATCTTAGCGATATCAATAGGAACACATTCTATCCGGACGCAAATGAACGGCAAATAGCGATTGAACTCACCGCATGGCAGGGTAAATGTCGATGTCCCCCTCTTTCTGCAGACGCTGTATCTTGTGGTCCAGCGATGTCAACTTTTGACGGATGACTGGCTCAGCTTCGGAGACCCTGCTCGTGAGAAAGAAGTACTTAGCATCTGACGCCGCGTCTTTTGCTTTGCAGTGTGCAATGTGCGTCAGTCGAATCCGCTCATTCATGAGACATTTGTAGCCACTCGGAAACGGTCATTTGTAGAGAGTGTCCATTAACTGCACCAAGCATCTCGTTTGTACCCGAAATACACCAACTGACCAGATCACTGGCTTCAGCAACAGTTGGTTTGGGAGGAGGCTCGTTGCTAATTACGGCGGAGGAGTCGGAAAGGCCTGGCTCGGATGGGGGCTGCCGTGGCGTGTCAACCAGTGGACACGAACCTAAGCTTTTGCCAGCAAGCAAGCCAACGTTCTGAAGAAGGGTGAGGAGAGAAGAGTCGCGGCAGAACGTGAGGTTTTGGTCGACATCTTGCATTGGCAACCGCGGTTGGGCACGCGGATGGTGAGGCGAGCGTCCGTCGGCGGAAGTAAGGGGGTCCACCGCACCCAAGGTCGAGGTAATGTGTCCTTGGGCTGGTTGAAGCCGCGAGGGAGAGGAACTCTCGGAGTGGAAGGGACTCAAATGGCTAGAAGACTCTTCGAAACGTCGAGACAACCGTCGTTGGGCAACAACTCTCGCGTAGCTGCATCCAGCCTAAAGCTTCCGCGAGACGGATCTTCCGCAGGGCTGCTGACCATCGCACCGCTCTTTGCGCGCTTTGCAATTACCACATGCCTTGACGCACCGCTGCCGTTGACTGGGTGGCACCTTCGCAGTTGGCATGTCTCTTTGTAAAGCTTCACGATCGTGTTCGGGTTTGGTAAACTAGCAGTCAAAGGAGACAGCACTTCGGTGTGTACCACGTTTGGCGGAGGATCATGCGGAAGGGCGGGGCTGGTAATACTTAGCTGCAGCTGCGCATGGAGGAATAGAGAGTCCGGTTCGGAGAGATCTGATCGTAGCGCGGAGAGTACGGCAGAGTTATCGCCGATTGTCCGCATACATGTAGGTAGGTATAAGACGGAGATCGGCCCCGGACAAGACCGAGAAGTTCCGTGGAAGGGACGCCAGAAGTCGAGCTGTCTTAGCGACATGGGCTATCAGATTGATCGACCTGTAGCTTCAACTTAACCATAATTGAAGTTCGGCCGAATACAGGCATGACAGAGCAGCGGGTTACTTGCGGACAGACGGAGCAGAGATATTCTTGGGGATGATTCCGCTAATCTAAAGTAATGTGACACGATCTTAAGTCCGGACCACAGGTGTAGTGGTTGATCATGATTAAGTCCGCGAGGTAGAAGCTGAAAAGCCAACCACCATTAAGTCCGTCCGGCGATATTGTAAAGGCTCACGACCCCACATGCCGTTCGCCGCAGCAAGGAACAGATCTTACGATCCTAGCGCGCGCTGCATAAGCCCTCTCAACACTCCATCGCTTCAAATCAGAGGGATTACTTTACCAATCAACCCCGCGAATACGGAATAAGGTTTAACAATAGAACCGCATGAGCACCTAGCTAGAGTGGTAGTTCCGCGTACTGCTTTACAGACCCTGAGGATGTGATCTTGGTCCCAGTCTACCACTTAGTAGTTAGCACGGTTCAAAATCGGTACAGTGCAGTGCTCACATAACACTGCGTGCTCAACCAGATCATCGTGTAAGACCTTGTAGGGTCTGGGTTCACGGGAATCTATGAGTACGGAGGAGCAGCGCGCGAGAGCTACGATACCAAGGCATTGTTCCGTATATTGAGATTGTCCCTGCTGGAAGGTGTCATTCGGCATTGCATTACTAGAAATGGTGAAGCACAAAGGGCGGAGCTGGAGCGTTACGAAGACCGAGCATTAAAAATACTAGTCATTGGACGGCTTCGTGCGTTACATTAGCTTCACGCTAAGATGACTACTCCAGGGGAGTAAGGAAGAGCAGACAAACTTATGATGATGAAAACTTGAATCTCGTTGTAGTAGACGCGGGCTACAAACAAGGAGATTTGCACACAACCAATACCTAAGTTGCCCTCCCTGGAAGGGGGCAAAGTGTGTAGAGTGACTGGTACACTCCAGTGGGCCTGACGTTTTTACGGCGCGGCGTCACCAGATTGCTGCCCAGCGTAAACGTGTAGTGTTGGACAGGGGACAACGATCCTTTGCTAGTTCAACCTTCTGATTTTGTATACAGGGTCGTGTCGGCACCGCGGCGAGTTCAGATCCCGCTGACGTGAACGAGAAGATAATGTGATGGCTAATGGACTGGTTGATTAAGTGAGGAAAGAATCAAGGTGAACGTCAAGGCATACTGAATTCACTGCTTCGCGATGTTTATAAAGTGTGCGGTATTCCCTCGTTGCTTCACTTGCTCAAATTACTGGAGCAAAATCAGCTAAACTACATTCTTTCAAACAGCAGAACATCATGGTTCGACTTCTTACCCCTATCACACTCTTTGCAGTGCTCCTCGTCAGCAACACGGCTGCACACCCAGGCGATCATCATTCAGACATATCCCATCTGGAGCGAGAACGAGCCTTCCATAGGCGTGCAGCTGAAGCTGGGGCTGTAAAGATGGGCCGTTGTGCCGACACCTTGGAAACCGTCAGAAAAAGCGGCATTAAGCGACGCACTACAACCTTGGAGCGCCTACGACAAGAAAGGGGCTTCGCATCCTCGGCCGGGATTCAGCCTCGTAACAAAGAGGAGGTGGCTTACTATGACTCTCTCAACCATAACCTTACGTCTGTTGTCAAGAGCGGATCCTACGAAGAGTTGTTTGGTTCCAATGCCTCTTGCGTACTGGGTCGGGCTGAGACGATCGGTCCATACTACGTCGAGGGCGAACTCATTCGCAGCAACATCACCGAAGACCAGATCGGTATTCCGATGCACATGGAGTTGCAGTTCGTGGACGTCAACACTTGCAAGCCAGTTCCCGCTCTGTTCATCGACATCTGGGGTGCCAATGCAACGGGCGGCTACTCTGGAGCTGAATCACCCGCTGGCATCAGCGGATTCGGCGGTCTCAACTCCACCTTCTTGCGAGGCATTCAGATCACGGACGAACACGGTGTGGCTAGTTTCGATCTTATTGTACCTGGACACTACTATCCTCGCGCTACTCATACACATATAGTAGCATGGGGAAATGCTACGACATTCGCCAATGTAAGTCCACTAACGATATGTGTCATGTTTCCTTCCTTTTCTGCTTAGCATCGCCTGGATACCGCGAAATTGATCGGCATTTTCAAGAGGCTAACAACTTTAAGGGCACAATCGCCGGTGGTCTCGCAACGGACGACACATTTATCCGTTACGTGGGACAGCTTTACTACGAGCAGAAGCTTCGTGATGCCGTTGACCCCATCTGGCCTTACAACACCAACACCGATAAGGATAACTTCAAGAACGTGGACGATTACATTCTGGCCGAAAACAAGACGCTCAACGGCAATACGGTCGGTGACTTAGGGGCTTACGATCCTTTCGTCAAGTATGCCTACTTCACGGATGATCTAGCGGATGGTATCTTCGCCTGGCACACCATCGGTGTGGACATGGACGACAACTTCAATGAAGGCTTCCAAGCGGCGGCCAAATACGAAGAAGACGGAGGAAGGGCTCTTAATTCTTGGGGTGATGGTACCATCAACCCTTACCCAGCTGTGGTGCCACCCAAGGGAATAGTCTCAACTACTGCGGCTGGCAGCAGCGCTACAGGACTGTGACAAGCCATAGTGCATTGATAGCAGCAAAGGGATCAATGTACCAGGGTTGATACTGGAGCTGGTGGACACGAAGTACGCAACGATCAACTTTATTGTGGTGGTCAAGAAGCCATCGGATGGCGGTGCGAAGCTAGAGAATCTCTTACGCATATGTGTTATGTAAACTCCTACTTATCTAGTGAGGGCAGAGGCTGGGATTTGCGGTCTCGAGGCCATTTAGAATGAATCATGTCTGCCTACTGTACCGTTGTTACAGCCCAACCTGCTTGAACAGTCAGGTGCTATCCCGTAACCTGTTTATTTATATATCAAGTCTCAGAAGACCAGTAATAGCTTGTATAAAAATAACAAACACCTATTGTTCTCTGTAGAGGATCACTGTCCCAGCGTTTACTGACAACAAAATCAACTTTACTATCAAGCCTATACAAAAACGTTCATTCTTCCCACCCACGTCCTCAAGGCCCTGATGGCCTCTCTTCACTATTGTCCAACAGTGAGCCACTTACTTCCGCACCTTTCGCATTTCGTGAGGGGAATGCAACAACCGTTTTCTCTAGCCGATTAGGTAGCGGATCTTCGCCGCCAGTGTCCTGGAGCTCGATGTAGGTACTTAGACAGGCGGATGTTGAAGGCGAGGCGCAGAATCGTCGAGAACCTGCTGCTGTATGAAGAGCCTGTAACCACTACAGCCCAAGTACCGATGGTGACAGACAAGATAGTGATTCCCACAGCAACCCCATAGGCTATCCATAAGGGGGCGACTGAGTAAGTGTAGATGTTCTGGTACACTTCCGTCTCTATTCTGGCTTGGATTGGCGCGGTAGGACTGCCCAATGTTGTCAGCTAATAGTCTCCAGGCCTGTTTTCGACTGCATTGTGTATTCCACAGCTCACATAGCACACAACTTACTTCAATTCAGCTTGCGACATAAGACTCAAGGTGGTGTTGAGAAACATATTTTCCAGCAACCTCGGAATTTCGTGGCCGGCCCCTGGTTGATTGCTAAACTGTTTCCCGAAGAACATCAAGTCTTTTGCCAGATTTGTTATGCCCACCTGCGTCTGAATTATTCGCGGAGCACCTTGAATATTGCGATTGATAAGGGCACTTCCAATTAGCATAGACGAAAATGCATCCATGACCGCTTGGAAGGGAACTCCGACGCCTTTGTTGAACGTCTTGGTCGACATGGTACCAACACTCTGAAGCCAAGGTTCACTGGGCTCATTTGCTATCGGTATGGTGCTAATCTCCTGAACTCCGGATCGATATGAGAACTCTGTCTGGTATGAAGCACTATACAGGGTACATTTCGTGAACGAATCAAGAACCAACATGTTGGAGTCAGACAACCCATCGTCGTTGTTTTCGACAACGTATAAGGTTATTGGGGCATCTCGGGGCCCAGAAACCGTGTCCCTGGTGGAATCCTTTTTGTCCGGCGAAAATGGTGAAAGGTCTGTAGTTGATTCCGGCATCCAGGATATGTCCCGATAACAATAACCATCGGAACAGCGTTCAGTTGCTGATTTGGTGACATTGATGCGCAGCTCGTCATCTACATCCAGAGCAGAGCATCGGAGGGCTGGGCCCTCGAAATCCAGATTCCAACTGGCGTTGCCGTAGATAGAGGCCATCGGGATGATCGTGCCTGATATAAGTGAGCTGATCGCTGCTCTTCTAACTTCATCACTTGGCCCTGAGTAGGTTGTGGTACGTGTACCATCTGTGAGCCGTGCAAAAGCCTCACTGGTGAAACTGATGCTGGAAATCGGTCCAACTATTATGCCCCTTGCTACAGCTGCCTTGACAGTTAGTGTCGCCGGAGTGAGAAGAGTAGCGAACGGTAGAAGCCTAGATTTCCAGTCAGAACCAGGTTTCATGCAGAAACACTTCTCGTGTCAATTACTTACCAGAAGAGAAGCGATAAGAACATGGATAATGGGTAGAGCATCCAGAGCCTAGCATCTAAAATGTTCAGAGCATTAGACTTCGAGGCCAACAAGCCGTCAATCGATTGGAGCTTTGAAGGGCGGGCCTTGAGGACACTCCACGCGTGTTGCTCTTGCGCCGTGGATATGGCTATGCTAAGGAGAATCTTGGACATTGAAGCCAACAGCGCCCCAAGAGAAATATTGAGCTGCTAACTAGTAGCACCGCCCAAGTCGTAGTAGGTCTCTGATAATGGCGGCGTTCCAGCAAGGCTCCCGTAGAAGCAGTGATAACCGACTGCAAAGCCGACCCCGCCCAGCATACTGAGGCACATTGTGAGCGGGGCCTTCCAAGCATATAGTTGTTAGCTTTTTGCCGCCTTCTCCTTCTCTGCGGTTGACATAACAATTGACTTGTGATGGCGGCACGCGGGAACTCTGCCAGATGATTCTTGAGTATGAGCATGAGATGCTCAAGTGCGAGTGAAGGGATTGCAGCAAACCCCTCTTATCTTTTCGGGTCCAGACGGAGCTGAGGCGGCGAAGATGCGCTTGGTTCCTACACATGCATGTTGGCAGTAAGCCTGTACAAAAGGCCCCTGAGCCGGTCCTCAAGCGGCAGTGTACCCATGCAAGGCCTTGTTGGTTCGACCTGGAGGCTGCGCATAGGAGGGCAAGTCGAAGAAACAAGAGATAGCATTTTACTTGAAGAGGAAAGGTGTCTTATTAAGAGCAGACGAGGCGTGAGAGAAAGAGTGAGGGCGATGTAGAGGTAGAGCAGAAAAGAGAGGGGGGCGACGGCGCGGTGTTGAGCGAGGATGGAGTTGTAGTTATTTTAGTAATAGACAGAAAGCCAAACATTCGACGCCATACGGCCGTTTTAGCCAACGAATCCAAATGGTAGGGAATCTCGAATTTTCCAATGGGTGCGGTCGTACATGGTAGCTGAGGGCATTCCTAGTGCAAATGCTGGGATGGTCAAAGAGTTCAATGCCCATGGCTTCGTATGCGCCTTACTGCCAAGAGGGTCTCTCTTTTCAAGTTTTGATGCTTCTGGATACATTATAAACTCCATTATAAAATCATACACAGCCTTGCATTTAAATATTCGCAGACATGTCGAAGACGCGATCAACATGAGATGCGCCGTGGTCCAGGCATCGACGGGATGCGCCGATACCCAAACGGGCATGTTTATGCGGACCACCGGGCCCGGAACCCCGCACCGATCATCGTCCGCATTGACTTGCCATATCGCCTTGAGTTGGGGAGATGAGATTCCTACCGAGGGACAAGCACTCTCGTCCACCACAACCCCCGGATGCTGTGATATCTACATCACTCGAATTCGTGAGGGACGTTGGATAACATAACACAGCAGATTGACATGAATGCGAGACTGGAGAACTCTTCATCTGGTGTCTGACGTCAACAGCAACCTCACAAATCCCCCCGCAGCTATCAATCCCGAATCTAACTCAACGTTCCCATTTGTCTTTTCCTCATCGCTTTCATATTCGTTCAACGAAGTAGTCAAACCTGAGCTCAAGTCCGAGGATAATATAATACAATCCACTCGTTCGTCCGTATCAATCATGGACGAGAGAGCCCGCATTCCCGTTACCCTCCCGGTGCCGAACCCAACGCCCAGCTATTGGCACTCGCCGCTCTCCCGTCTCTCAACCTACAACTCCAGCCCATCACCACCCTCAGAGACCGATACTTTGATCGTAGGAAGTGGCATCACTGGAGCGGCCACAGCGCACTTCCTCCTTTCCTCAAAAGATGGATCGGCTTCGCCCCCAGACATCACCATGCTTGAGGCTCGCACCCTTACCTCAGGTGCAACGGGTCGCAATGGCGGCCACACCAAAGCCGCATCCTACCGATCATTCCTTCATCACGCCGAGACACTTGGGCTTGAAGCAGCTTGCCTCATTGCCCGTCTCGAACTCGCAAACATCCGAGCGGTTCACGCCTTTGCCGCGTCACATCTCAAAGACAAGGAGACGGAGAGCAGACCCTGCCAGACCGTCGACGCGATATACGACGAGGCGCAGTGGGAAGCTGCCAAGAAGGCCATAGAGGCGATGAGAAAATCCATGCCAGACGACGACGCCTCAAAGTACGAATTCTATGACGTTGAGGAGATGAAGACCCGGTTCCACGTTGCAAAAGAAGGGCTATATGGAGGCATCGGATACGAAGCCGGAAGCATTTCGGGATACCGCTTCACCACCGACGTGCTGGAGTTATGCGTCGACAAAGGCATGAAGCTCTTCACAGAGACACCGGCACTAAGCGTCAAGAAAGTTCAACATGGTGTCTCCACGGAAAACCACCGCTGGATAGTCGAGACACCAAAAGGACAAATCAAGGCCCGCCGCGTCATACTCGCAACAAACGGCTACACCGCATTCCTCCACCCACGCTTCCAAGAAGCCATCGTCCCAATGAGAGGCCAAATCACTGCTCTCCGCCCGGGCTCCAACATGCCAAAGGCGGGCCTCGCGACAACCTACAGCTTCATCTACGAGGCCGGCTACGAGTACATGATCCCCAAACCGGCAGGCACGCAGTTCGCCGGCGATATTGTCATCGGCGGCGGCCTAGTCCGCGCTCCCGACCAAGGGCTGGGCGAGTACGGTACGACGGATGACTCGCGGCTGAACCCCGTCATCAGCGCGTACCTGCGCGAGACGACACCGCGCTATTTCGGCGACGATTGGGGCGACGATGACCCCGAGGGCGAGGGCGGCGGCAGGGTGCGCGCCGAGTGGACGGGCATCATGGGCTTCAGCCCCGACGGGTTCCCATTCGTGGGCGAGGTGCCGGGCGAGGACGGGCTGTGGGTTTGCGCGAGTTTTCAGGGACACGGTATGGTGTTTTGCTGGATGTGCGCGAGAGCGTTGGCGGTCATGCTCGAAGGGAGAAACGGCAGCGCGGAGGAGAAGGAGAACGGGGAGGAGAGCAAGGCGGAGGAGGCGGAGAAGCAGCTTGGCAGCTGGTTTCCCGACGCATTTAGAATTACATCTGCGCGCCTGTCGCAAAGATTCGGAGGGAGAGTGAATCACTCGACGGCTGGATCCGCTGAGCGGACATAAAATAGAGACATAGAGGCACAGAAAGGCATGGAAATGTCGAGACATGAGACTCGAGAGTCACTCGTAAACGCCCACCTGACGCCGTAGCGGGCTGGCTTGACTTGGCTTCCTTGCTTTCTCGTTGCGGCTGGAATAGAGTTCGACCGCGCCAGTCATGGCCGCTTAGCTTAACCATCCCCTCGGATTTTATCGTATGAGCCCGTTCTGGCGGTCAAAGAAGGAACAGGTATACCAGGGAGGAGGAAAGGGGAAATGGCGTCTCGTCCGGCTTCCCACGGCCGTATGTAGGCAAGTACGTACGCATAAGCAAACGATGTTGTTGTCTTGTTTGCTCTAGCCGGCATCGGGAAACACGATCACGAGGTGCATGGCCATTCCTACATGTCACACACCCATGGGATGGGTCACTGCCAGGACATGGCTGGATGGAATACGACTGTGGCAGATTATCGTGACGGTTTGTGGAGGTTCTCCTTCAGCCGGCCACGTTCCTATTCGGTGTTATCTCTTGTGTTGCAATGAACAAGTCAGGATACCATTGCGTCCAAAAGATTCACTCACGCCAGGTTCCAAGTCGCGCGCGTAATTGCGGCCGTTTAATGTCATCTGCATGTCGCACAATGCGCGGAACCAGCAAACATTCTGACCAAAAACCCCACCTGGATGGCGGCACGCCTCCACAGCTCGGAATAGAGGCACTAAGGTCATTGCACTACGGGATACGTACGAAGTAGGTCCCGCCATGTTCGTCCGTCTCTGCTTAAATGGAGTCATCCCAATCGAGCGGCACAAGCGGGAAGAGTCTCGCCAGTGCGTTGGCACGGTACTGCTCGCCTCGGGATCGCTTGCAGGTGCAGGTCCAAGGGGGACCACTCGGTTGGAAACAATAACCCACTCGGGGAAAGGGGTCGCGATGAATGAATGGATGTTGAGGGCAGCGAGATGCAGAGATGGAAGGCCAGACCCGAGAGGCAGAGCTGTGGCGTTTTTGGTGTGCCGTCCTGTTAGATAAAAAGGACTGGACGGCACTTCAGCCATCATCCGTTAGGTCGGTGGATAGCGTACCCTACGTCCGGTTAATGTGAAAAAGAGATGACAGGCAGCACACCTTATGACGGGAAGCTGCTGTCTGAACGAACCATCCCCGAGAGACCAAGCCTATGAGGGAGATGCTTCTGCGAGGAGAGCAGAGCCTGAGAAACGTGTATGCCCGCCTTGGGTCGATGTCATTTGCAATATCGTGGGGGGAGCAGCTTCGATCCAGAAAGTTGTCGGAGTGGAACGGCTTGCCGAGAGCCACCGTACACACACATCGAATACGACTCTGAGAAGCAGCCATGGCCTCATTTCCTACTCGATGCGTACGTCCACCAAGATGATCGTGAGGAAACCCCCGCTCGACCATAAGTTTTGAGGCAGGTGCTTAGTGCGGTCCTGGGCATCGTGGGTGTGCAACTTGTGCGCACTGCGCGGGCGCGGCAGCACGGAAAGACGAGAAGAACGACAGGGGTAACTTTGACAAACACTTTGCCGGCCGGCTTCCTTTGCCCAGCACCAGATGCTGGATAGACCCCAGCCAGCCAGGACCACAGCTGTACGGACGGATATGCGATCCACCGTTCTGGAGACCTTTGACAGGCTGCGAAACCCGAAGGATTCAAGCAGCCAAGCCGTCCGTTGATGAGAGAGAGAAAGCAGCACACACACACACACATACACAACAATCTGCAGACAGCCTACAGGTAACCCGACAGAGGGGATAGTGGCCCGTAACTGCAGGCACAAGACAAGGAACCACCCAATAGCCCTTCGATTGGGACCGCGCGCACACACGTCGCCAAATGCGGTGAGCGTCGAAGAGGTATCCGTAGAAAGAGATGCAGTTTCCATGCGCCTCTGCGGCATGATGTCGGGACCGGGCGTTGCTCAGCGCGAGAGCGAGGGCAATGCATTGAGTGAGGCTTGGGAATAGCCAACGTTGATCTTGTCTCGCCTGTGGTTTGAGTCATGTCTACATGGTGAGCGCATATACGTAGGCTGAGCCCGTTTGTAGCTTGACGTGCGTTTGTCACAAGCATCGCGGTTCCCCCCTTCCGTCGTCATGCTGTGCATTTGCTCATGTTCCGAGGATAAGGGTCTGGTAAGATTTGTAAAGTTCGGGAGAGAGATCCCTCGGCCCAAAAACTCCTTGGTAGTGCCCGATGATTCCGAAGATCTTCATTGCGCCAATTTGGGTTGATTTGCTAGTGGCGTTTTGGAACCTGTTGGACCAGAGGGGTTAAAGAGGTTGCAGCTCGGCTGAGCATGGAGACATGTATGTCCTTACGTGTCTGTAAGCTTGTGCCAGACAGGTATGATGGCTGTGTCGTCGGGTCATCAAACTTTGTGGGATAAGCACGCAAAAGAGCCTATCTGGTAACGAAATCGGGTGGCATGCGGTCAGAGCAGAGTAAACCGCGTGCGCTTCGCTTGTACGGCCGAAATATCGTGTTGCCCTAATATGCTGTAACGTAAATGGTATCGCAATTGGTGCGAGACCATTCCGATGGTTTTTAGTACGTATGGTAATGTTCAGTAATCGGTATTCAGCGTTCGAGGCTGTCTAGCACGTATGGGTGTGAGACGGCGGCTACGATGTTTGACCGCCTTAGTCGTGGTTATTAGGAGAAAGCGCAGTGTTAGACCCGGTAGTGGTTGGCGATCGACAGTCAAAGTCCAGGCCAAAAAGCAATGGCTTCAGATCGTCGCGTCCAATGCCATGGAACTTGCTCGGGACCCCGGCTCACGGGCGGTGACTAGCACGTAGTTCCATCTCAGAGGTCCCCTTGGACGAGCACATTTTGTCTCTTTGGATTCGAGGGGAAGGGAGGGGGGCTGAGACTAAGCAGCTAAGGTAGCTTAGGCCTTTTGTTTCGCCTGGGATGGGATTCCAAAGAAAAGATGGCTTTGCTAATTACACATTGTCGACCACGTTGTGACATGCCACCGCCATGCTCTACGAATCAAGATCCGCGATGGCGACAAGAGACGAGTTGACACAATGGGGGCGCAAATTAGGGCCAAAGTAGCGCAACTGACTCTGATCCTCCCTACTGCGGGAGAGAGAGAGGCTTAGGCTGAACCACGGACCAGCAGGCACGAGTCGAAAAGCTGCGGACGCCCGGGACGCTAAGAGATCATATGAACCTCACAGTTGGATTAGAGCGTCGCAGCTTGCCATCCATCTCAGTACCGTCTGGTCCTGATTTGATTTGGCTGTCTGGGTCATCTCATGATTTCCAGTCTCTTGTCCCATCCAGGGTGGATAGGAGAGTTGATCTGAAGCCGACGGTGCGAAGGCAAAAATGTGAAATGAGCTGACGGAGATCTGCAGTGGTCGTTATTCCCGGTGCTAGCAAGACGACCGAACGCCCGTTCGCTCCGGACGGTAAGTAGATGCTGAGGATCGGGTGGGCGAAGAAGACGGGACCGAAATGATATGCCCTGGAGGGGAAACAGGGACGAATCGCGAGAGTCGCGGAGTTTGCCTTGGCGGCACCCAGACGCAACAGCGGCCGGCGGTCAAGCCGGGGACTTACAGTTGCAACAACTGCCATTGGGTCGACGCCATATTAGACGAGACGAGACGATGTCGCCCTGTGTCGGCCGATGAACGGGATGTCGATGTGAGTGACAACAGATGGGTAAAGACGGGGGTTGTTGTTGGTCATGGGGATGGCTCCGTTTGGGATCCGGGAGGTCGCATCCGAGCGTGGTATTCAACGGGTTGTAATAATGCAATGGAATGGCAATCGCTTGCATGGCGCGGGAAGTCACGACGTGTAATATCAAAGCTACTTGCATGGATGGATAGTATGGTATAGCCATGATCGCTTTCCGTACTCCGGTTTGTATCAGTACTGGAGAGAGAACTCTGAACTTTGAAGTATCAAATTTTGCGTGGGCCCTGGATGCAGTACGCCAGGTGTAGATAGGAAAAGGATTGGACTATTGGAGAAACGACCACTCACCTGAAAGGCCAGAACGATGCGACTGCCGACTGCCGAGTGACGAGCGGCGTAGAGGCATGCGATCTTCGCTGCAAAGGAAGGACTTTTGGTTGGAAAGAAACACAATCGAAGCCCCCTCCATGGACTTTGCCGCTTACCAATGCCAGCATTCTATCAAATGCATGAAGTCGCTAAGTTATTGAATTCAGATTCCTTGGTTGTGAGGAGCTTGCAAAGTCTCTGGGTTCACAATAGAATACGTCTGACCATAACTAATACTGAGCAAGTCTTTGAGGGATAAATCAGCTCCTCCTCTCGTAAACGTCAACATCTCCTAGCCAGTGAATTACAGAATACATGCGGATCCGATAGACTCGGAGAGAGTGACCTCGATGGGCCGGCCCCCCTTCTCCCAAGAAAAGCTTCCTCCCGAGTCCCGGCCCAGCGTGCCATTCCTCTGGGAACATCCACAACGATGGCTGGGGCCCCTAGCTGCCCTGTTGTCCGTTGAAGGCGTGCAGACCAAGTACTCTGTATTCGTAGAGTTGCAGCGCTTTATCCGTCTCATGTCCCTTTCCGTCTAGGGGGTGTCTAGCAGTACTAACAGTGGGCAAAGGGGAAAGAGGATCCAAGGAACAGGGAGTGAAAGGGGTGTTGGGATACCAGGCTGTGACATTTCCTCGATGAGAGAGAAACATGGATAGCGGCGAGGAGAAGGAAGCAGAGTCAAGTACTGTCCATGTACCCGTCTGCTCTCTTCTCGACCTCGGCATGCCCCCTTTGAGTATCCCACCAAAACCCATTCGATTTCTCGACCCTCCCTGTACCGCCAAGAAGGACAATCTGGGTCTCAGCCCCCACAGAAGGGACAAGTTCAAATCCCGAAATCTAAAGTCCCACTCTTTCTTTGGGTAGTGTGTTCTTCCGGCGCTCACTTCGCACCTGTTCTCCGTACCTCTCTCTGTACGGTAGGTATCCGTACGCACACACACACTCGTAACGGACGGGATATGCTCTAGTGCAGATTGAAGTCTCTTTAAACGTGCTGGGTCTCGTGTTTTTCTCCGAACGTAACCTCCATGTGGCGGGTGACTATCAGGTCATACTTGAGTTACGGGCTGTCAGGTTTGACGCATGCTTTGTGTGGAACGTTAAGATGAGGGGGAGAATTCCACAGAGCAGAGGAAAGGCCAACCAAGCAAAACCCGGGCTTCCCAGAATCTTCGTGCCTAGAGAAAAGCTTCATATTTACTTTTTTTCTCCTCTCTCCAGTCGAATCGACGGATTGAGCTCGATGCAGGACAAACGGACCAGACGGCGACGCTTCTTCCCTCCACCCTCTCTGACCGTAACCGCTGCTGCAAGGTTTTTTGTGAGATCTGACAAAGACTTGAGCAATTGTGGGCAGCGCTCTGCTGGATTGGGAGGAGGAGGGGAAGACCCAAGCAGCGCCAACGAGGAGGGGCAGCCCGGGTCCGGGAGCATGGACATGGGTTTCTCGTCAACGACTGCCAGTGACCACTTCTCGGGAGCCAAGACCTCCAAACCTTGCCCTGCTCTGCTCATCGGTATGCTTGATCTGTGCCATTGTAGCATCCGTCAAGCGTCAACGCTGTCAGCATGTACCTCTGAAAGCAACCTTGGAAGAGTCAGAAGTGAGGCTTTCCTCACACTGCGCGAATGATTGATCACTGAGCGGCCTTCCTTTACCATGGTAGTGCGGACTTTGCGCCCGTTTGATGGACGACGGAAAGTATGGATGGTCCTTGCTGGTGGACTTGGTCACGGACATAGGACTGTGACACTGACAGCTGAGTGAAAGGCCGCCAAGTTGTCGAAACATTTTCTTGCTTTTCTTCCCTTCCCAACGGACTGGACTGCTAAGCTTCGGCACTCGGTCAATATGTCGGGGGAAGTCGGTGGGCAGAAAAACACTGGCAGCTTTGGGCAGAGAATCCTGCCGCACAAGAAGTGGAATGATATCGATCATCTCAAGTTCGTTTGCTGTGGCCCATCCAGATCTTTGCCTATGGGTTGATGGGCTTCGTGGGGTCCAGCGATAGTGGTATGCTTCTTCTTCTTCTTCTTCGGGACATCGCGCAATCTCGCGCAATCTCTGCGGGCCCATAGTTCAACGGATGCATCTGTGTGATCTTTTCTGGGCTCGATCTTGCTGGAGACTTCAGAGACGGGGGTCCCCATCAGAAACCGAAGAGCCGCAAAACATGACCGTCAGACGGTCGGCCATCTTGACGGTACCGACGGGTCAACGGCCCCGGCCTTCAGTTTCGACCGAGCTTCGGCGCTCTGTGCTCCGTGCTCTTTCTCCCAACTCTTGAGCTTCTTGGGTCTTGGGTCTTGAGTCTTGACTCTTGACTCTTCGTGGGGTGCTACGTTTGCCAGGAGCTCCCCTTCTCTCGGGTAGGTGGTTTGACTGTACTGTCGGCCGCTTGTTGCAGGTTCATGGCGCTTCATCCCAGCAGCTTGGTTCGAGACAGAATAGAGTTCATTGACGAGGTGTTGATCCTTTGCGGGCTCCATCGAAACCTGCCACAAGGTCGAATGGCATGGCGAAGTGAACGAAGGCCAAGACTTGGTCAGACGCGAAGGTGCCGACACTACTAGAGTGATGGGCAGGCCTTTTGACAGACGGACTGATAGCATGGCAGACCAGAAAGTCCTAGACTCGTGACATCTACCGTGATAGACTTAGAGTCGTCGAGATGATTATTGCGGAACTCTCCGTCAACTTTGATTTCCCTGCGAAAATCCTCGATTCGTCTTGGGGGCCCTGCCGGTTCCGGGCTTTGAAAATGAGCTTGTACCTGTCCAACACAAGTGGAGAATAGAAGTGGATTAGATAAGCATGCCCTGTACCATGGAAACGTCCGAGCCAAGGGCCCCAGGGAAGTGAGTGACACTGACACTGACTGGGAGTTGGGAGGGGTGAGGGCCTTGGACGAGAAGGGAGAGGAACAGAGAGAGAGAGAGAGAGAGAGAACAGTAGTCAACAGGTGATCGATGTACCTCGACACCCGCAGGTACTTCCGCCTTGTCTTTGCCTTTGCGGCTTGCCTTGCCTGCCCGGATCCACGAGAAGGGGGGCAGAGAGGCGGCCGGGACGCTGCACGTTCCAGGTCGAGGTTACTCCTGGTGCTCCTCCCATCCGCAGCTCCTCCCAGTGCAGCAGAGCAGCTAAGGGTACATAGTAGAGTGTAGGCGAGGCGAGCAGGGCAGGGCACTTGCTTTGCGTCTGCTTTGCTTCTGCTGCGCTGCTGCTGCTAGAGGAACTCATGTTCCCATTCCCTTGGGTCGGCGGGCCCCCTACTCCGTACGTCTGCGCCTAGTTAAGTACACAGTAAGTACGGTACAGGAGGATGTCCTAGCCGTAGCAGCAGCAGTCCTGGGTCATCGTTGCGCAGGTTAGTCTTGAAGGACTTCCCTCCGACGATAATCCGCATAGCAAGCAGGTCGATGGACGTCCGCAGGAGAGTTCCCCATCAGCAGCTCCAGTTGCCCCTCTTCAGTACAGAACATGTCGACATTCATTGGCATCACGACTGGCCACGCCTCATCATGTGCTTCTCAGAGTCTGCCTCCGGCTCCTCTTTCCCGTTGCTATCTCGCCCTATCTCATATCCTTCTCTCTCGACTATCGGTCTACCTTCCGAGTCTTGACACTGCGCATACACGAAGCACATGCAGATTCATGTCCAGTCTCCATTATGCCACCATGTAGACGCTCCGCTCATTACGCACGCATCGTCTTGGCTCACATCCGTTTGCCTACAAGAGTAAGGATACTCTGTACTCTGTACGGATATGTACAGAGCATCGCGGCTGGCAATGGATATCTCTCCACTCGGTGAACGGCTATCTCTCAGATACAACATACGCTTACCGTTCCGGTTCGAAAAGGAGCCCTACTGCCGCACATCATCACCCGTTCTCATTAAGGGTTTTGACGGCTCCTGACTCGCCCATCTGCCGTGGCACCACGGCACCGCGGCCATGGTCGCAGCCCTAAGGCAAGCCACGTCTGCCAGCGCACAGCACATTGGGATTGTTTCTCGGAGCTGCACTTTGGCAACCTCACAAGGACAAGAGGACCCGGAAGTGCTCGCAAGAACCCCCCCTCTTCTTCCTCGATCTTCAAAACCTAAGAACCATTCCGGCGTTGTCTTGACTCTTGGGGTAGTACGGATGCCCTATCGCAAAAAGTCACCTTACCTTAACCCCAACGTGCCTTGCACCCCTCCACTTCAGCTACAACCTCACCGAATCCCACTTCCAGACTGTTTACACTAGTTTCCCCCCTCCATCCCCTCTTTTGAACCCTTTTCCTGTGTTCCCCTCACGATGTTCACTTTTTCTTCCCATCATCCTTTTGGTCACGGCCCATCATATCCTATCTCGTGCTGCACGAGCAGACGGACGGGAGAATCGCCGTGAAGCATGTCTTATACTGATTCAATGAGCTGATGTTGTGACGGACCATGTGCTCTCCCACATGGGGCCACGTTCGTGTCTCTTCTTCCCGTCGTGCCTCCTGCCTGTCCCGCTGCTGTATTCATTGTGTATGTATGCGCTGTGCTTGTACTACATACCCAGTATAGACGCAACGGCAGGGTGATGCCAATTCTGGTGCAAAACAGACATGCTTCATCCCCCAAATCCCTGACTTGAGCCAATCATAGGTCCATTTCGACGCCTTCGTTCCTCATTCCCGGGTCCCTACGTCTTCAGGTCTGACCCGACAGCTTGTTTTGAAGGATTCCTTCCCCTCCCCTCCGACGCCGATGCCCTTACCCTCCTCTCCCGCTGCCCGCACCACTGATGTGCGCAGCCACCCCACTGACAGTGGCCAGGTCTGTATGTTGTACCCTGCCTGTTTCGTTCCTTGCCCAGCCCGTCGTATCTGAATGGGAGACACTCACACACACACACACTCACACACAAACACACACCCCAGTGGCCCCCTCCCCCCCCCCCCCAGGCCCCAGGGGCAGATTGATGGGCGTTAGGCACACTCGAGGAACAGTAGGCGGCTGACGAGCTAACCAAATTCGAGACAACTTGCCTATGGGTAGCTCGCTAGCTCATTAGAGCTGTCGAGACTGTCTTGTCTTGCGCAGTAAGCATGGTAAGCTCGCTTGGTGCCAAACATTGCCAAGGACAGGTTCACACACTCCTGGAGCTCTCTCTCTCTCATCTTCCTATTCATCTTCATCTTTATCGTCCTCGTGAAGCTGTAAAGTCATCAAAAAAAAAAAATAGTCATTTAGTTGTCAGGCAGCGGCCATCATTAACCCTGGCCTGCAGAGAACCACAGCCCGGGTATCGAGCGGGAAAGCATTACCCGCCCCTGCAAGTATAAGTCATCCAAGCCTTGCTGTAGCATCTGAGGTAGGTATCGAAGCAGAGCAGAGCAGAGCGCAAGTGCCACTCTCCCACTTGTACCTGGGCGAAGCAATGTACATTCCCTTGACCCATCGACCCTCATGTACCTTTCCTTCCCTGCCTTAGTGTCTAGTAGGTTCACTTCCGTACTTCCTGAGAGCAAGAGTGACAGAGAGAGAGGGCCACAGCGACCCGTGCAGGGACGGGACGCGAAGCTGTAAAGACCTGGACCTTGCCAATCGTCCATACTCGAACATCCATGCTTCCTTCAAGTCTACATTCTGTTGCCTGCCTCTCTCTCTCGCACTCATTGTCCCTTGCCTTCGGACCACTGACACCAAACACATACATAATCGCTCCCTTTTCACCTTTGTTTTCACCATCGTGTTCTTCAACGTTGCCATACTGTCGGGCCCTCCAGATTCCCCACGTCATCATTTACCAGCCCAGGATTCCTTCTGCGACTTATCTTGCGACCTTGTCTCCCAGTCTGGCCTCGATCTACCGGGAGCGTTGTTGAGCTATCGATCACCTGTCAACTTGAAGGATTCGAGATACCTGCCAGGGTCGACAACCTCTTCCCCCGCACAGGGCATTCGGCGAACAACCCGATCTCACCACATTCCGTTGCGTCGAATCGTCGCTGTTCACACCCCAGCCACGACGACGACGACCGCCGAGAGCACACAAAGTCTTGTCGCGTCAGACTTGAACACCGCTCTTCTAGACGGACGCTAGTCGACGGTCGAAGTTTGCTAGACAGGTTGCAGGTTACATAGCTCTAGACGAAGCCTGAATCCCCCACCCCTGATACCAAAAGGTCATCCACAAACACCATCTCATTCTCAGCCTGTCCGCCATCCGCCGCCTTCTCTGGTACCGGGCTCCTTCGGCTACCTTGCTAGTACGTACCTTGGCGACTTTTCTTAGTCTATGGGACGACCCCCTTCTCGTTTCCCCCCAGTCGAGGAAGTCATTCAGATTTCTGAGGCACCCTCACGGGCCATGTCAAAGTTGATGCCGAGCCGTCCAAACCACCATACCCTTTCTCTCTTAACACCAAGCCTGTCCCGTCGCAAGACATGCCAGAATTCCCGAACAAACAGTTGTTGAAGTCGATCCCTGATCCCCTTACCTCCCATCCTTCCCTTCGCTGCTCGCGTCCGCGATTTATCTCGTCCCGAACAAAGCGCACGCACACCAACCCCAAATAACCCTCTTCCATTGTCTCGGGTCCCTCCTTGTCATCCGCTCCAGTGGTTTTCTATTCCTTTTTCCCCTGTCAGTATCCTCCTCTTCTCCAAGACAGGCAGCGCAAAGTTTGCTTTCCCATCATTCGTTCTCGCCTCCCCGCTTCCACACCTCCAAACAAACCGACGTTTTCGTCCAACATCTTCCCTATCCTGATTATCTCTCTATCCACAAGCGGTTCGACCGCTCCCCACGCCGCACGCCGCTTCGGGACTTTTCTGATCTGACAGTTGGAAACAGACAAGCCTGGCTGCCAATCTGGGACGTCATCGCCGGCATTTTGGTCTTGGTGGAGGGGTCCCTGGTTAGAATTTTCCATCCCTGGAAAGCTCTCTGACGTTGAGAAAGCCAAGGTTTTGGATTGGGATCGCTTCGCATTGCCAATTCGCACTGCCATCAACTTCCCGACAAGTCAGGCGCCCGTCGCCGAGGACCTTTCTCCACGCCCGACGACAGTCAAGTTCGTGTACGCTTAGGTTCGAACATTTGACTCAGACTGGCGTCTGTCGGGTACGAAGCGCAACAAGCAGATAATTCACGTCCACAATGAATTCGCCGCCAAACTCATTACGCGAAGAACAACTGAGAGATCTCTTGGTGAAGTCCGCTCGCGGCCCGCCTTCAGACCAAGAACCCCCCGAAAAGCGGCTTAAACTCGGCGGCCCCCCTTCTCCGGCAACCTCAGGCCCGGCCGTCATGTCACCGCCCGGTTCCACCGATACAGCTATCACTGTCGGTTCTCATAATGGCGATGAGTACGACACCGAGAGCTTGACCGACAGTGTGAGAGAGCACATGTACGAGAACCGACTACGATATCACGCCTACCGCGCAGGACGTTATGCATTTCCCAACGATGCTATTGAGCAGGACCGCGACGAGATGAAGCACATCATCAGCATTGAGCTGAGTGGGAGGTACTTCTTTTCCCCTGTCGATGACCTGATGGCAAGAGGCGCCGAAGTCCTGGATCTGGGTATGTGAAAGCTTTTCATGTGAGGCACCATGGTGGTGACGTACTTGAGATCATCGTGGCGAATACCTGCCGCCACGTTATGAACGCTTTCTTCTGCAAGAATCATCACAACATTGTTCATGATGCCTCGGCAATGAAGAGAACAACGCCAGAATCTTGCGACGTCATCACCGAGCCGTTTGTTTACATTTTAGAATATGCTGTGAATCGCAGTGTGTTAACACCATTTTTCACAGGAACTGGACCCGGTCACTGGCCTATTGAACGTAAGTTCCAAGTCCTCAAGACGCTTTCATTTGCCGTCATATGATTCACTTTCACACCGTTCTTCTCACACCATTACGATCTCGCTACGTTTATGATAAGCGGTCAAACTTACATGTGACCCCGTAGTCGCCGATATGCATCCCAACTCTACGTTTCTCGGCATCGATTTATCTCCGATTCAGCCAAGTGAAGTGCCTCCCAACTGTCACTTCATGGTCGACGATATTGAACACGAAAATGGATGGGATCTAGACGAAGAGTACTTTGATTTCATCCATCTGCGACATACCCTGCACTCCATTCGCGATCGCAACGATCTCATGCAACGCGCCTATAGGTAAACTCCTCATCTCATTTTCACATCCCCTCCTCAAGCTATCGAACAATACTACCTGAAGACA